AATTGTAATAATTTGACATGTAAGATGATGCATACATCTAAAAAGGTTAAAAATAGGCCTTTGTAAAGGTAAATATGCAGATTTAAGTATGTAAAAGCTGATAGAACACTGAAGAAAATTTTGCTTCAGAATAAATTGTTTACTCCACCAAAAATCTCAGTGATGCAGTTATTTTGTGGGGATATTTTGTATGGAATATTGTCTGCTGACATAAAGTTCACTGTATATCATATTAATAAATACCATTTATTACAGCATTGATATTATAATATATTGATATTGATAACATTGATCTCTTTCTTTGGAGCAGTTTTCTTCAAGCCACTTGGGCACACCAACTGGCTTGGCTGCTTCCCTTCAGTCCATCCCAGATTACGTTTACTCCCAACTGTCCACGCCTGCGGTCTCCTCACCAGAAGCGTGGTATTAAAAAGATCTTAAATTTAACTTGTTCATGTCTGCAGAAACCCTGTCCTCTTCTGTACAGCCTTTTGTCACTCTCTGTAAATGTATCCTCGGGTTTTCTAAAGGTGTGTTCTTGCACGATTACACATACAGCAAGATCTTCAAGTTAACTGGCTGAAGTGTAATTAACACCTTTTCTTTATACTGTAAGAATAGGCCACACATGATTTAGTTAAGTCATTTGTATTCCTATAGCACTCATAATCCTTGTTTCAGTGCGGCCAAAATGTAAAAGTGTGTGAAACCCTCCTGTGTGTAAGGTGAAAGTGGCAAAGTTTCTTCAGCCATAACCTACGCAAAACGCAGCATTTTTATTAGTCTGAATAAGACTTGATGTAGTAATATGTAACATTTTGGCTTATGCTTTCCTTGATTCCTAGACCACCAGGAGTGTTTTTTTCTCCTTAAATAGTCTTTATTTCCATTTTAAAACATTTTATGTCCAAATACATATGTATGCAGGGTTAGTGAATGAAGCACACAATCTGGTTGAATGTCTTGCCCTTTTTATTTCTGAACTACTGCTTCTGTTTCCTGTTATAATAAATCTGTTTCCATCTCTTTCTTTGGAGCAGTTTTCTTCAAGCCACTTGGGCACACCAACTGGCTTGGCTGCTTCCCTTCAGTCCATCCCAGATTACGTTTACTCCCAACTGTCCACGCCTGCGGTCTCCTCACCAGAAGGAAAGCAACTGCAGTTAGACATCTGTGCCTTGTGTGAAAAAGGTACATGGTTTCATTCATTCTGTTTATACAATTTTAAATGCTGCTGTAAATTAGTGTAGAACTAATTCTGTTATGTGTCCAAGAAGAGATGTACATGACTATTCATACCTGTATTGGTGGGGGTAGGGTGAAACCTTCACAAATAGTAGAGGAAGAATCCTGAACCAGTTCTTAAGCATTGATATGAAAAAAATGGCTGGGGATGAAAAGAGTACTAAAACAATTTACACACTTTACTGTTTCTTCCCCAAAAATCCCAAAGAGGCAATGCTGAAGAAGTAGGTGTTAATCTGTGCAGGCCGTCATGTGCTGACATATTCATCTTGATTACGTAATAAAGAGGAGGAAGTACAAAATGAGTCGTTTGGCAGCTTGGTGTCCGTAAAAGCTGTTTTTGCACTTACAAGGAAGTTTTGAGTTCTGAAATTTACAGTAATGCTTACATATTCCCCTCATCTAAATGGCATGGGACCGGATGACTTTCTCAAACCTACTAAATCTAGAAAATAAAAATAAAATAAAATGAAGTGATATCTGGTATGTCACTGTGGGGGGAAAAAATACGTGTACAGAAAATAAGTGGCAACAGTGTACTATATTTAAAATGTGGAACACTCATGTTTACACACACACACACACACACACACACACACTTTTGTATATGTGGTTTATTGGAACTCTCCATAGGTTATAATGTTTTGGTTTACTTAGGTTATCCTTTTTTTTTTTTTTATCCCCTAACCCCACCCCTAAACATAGCCCTCACAGAAACTTCTGACATTAAAAAAATAAAATAAAAATAGTTTAGTACATGTTTAAGCCAGTTAGTTTGAGGGCATAGTAACCATGTTTACGCTGTAATATCGATGTTGTCATACACATTTGTGGCTTCATAAACCATCTATTGAAGCACATTGGTATAAAAAGTAAAAACATATTTGAGTAAAAGTAAAAAAAAAAAAGTTTACTTTAAAACCCAATTTACAACTTTAAATTATACTTAAAGGTGTGTAACACAGATCATAGTTGGGGAAGAAGGAGGCGGGAACCGGCGAACATTCAAACAAAACTTTAATAATAAAATAAACACAAAACAGCGCGACAGCCCCTCGCGGACGACTGTCGCGCACAAACAAAACCAAACAAAATAAAATCCAGGCCTGGTCATCTCTCATCTTTCACTGTCATCACTCCTCCTTTTTATCCTTCCGGAGCTCCTCCGTGAGACTCGAGACCGGTGAGTGGTGCAGGTGTCGCTCATTATCAATTACTCAACTCCGTTCCCACGGCTTTTGGCCCCGCCCCCACTCGTCACAAGGTGCAATAGGTGATTCTTCAGAAACCTTTTTTATGCTGGTTGAAAGTCTCTTCACATCCCGATAGCAATCATTAAGTTAAGTGGTCTAAAGGTATTTATATATTCTGTGGAAGGCATAGGACCAAGAAATGTTCATCCAATCAAAATGCTCTGTCCGAGCGTTTTAATTGGCTTTCCTACCTGCCTGTCAACGTACTAAGGTTTGTTTAATGGGAGAAAACAAAACACATGCACAGTGGCCTGTTGCATGACGCTAGCTGAACAAACTCTGTGAGGAGGTTTAGAGTTGACAAAACCAAACAAACCCAGCCTGGTTTAGATCAGGTTCAGCGGGCTCACAAAGCTCGATATAAACATTGTCAACTCCACAGCCACAGTTTGATTCACTTCTTGCAAGAGTCTGTGCAGTTCACAGTTCTGCTGAAGATTAATAGATGCTATTAAAGGGGTCCTATTATGCTTTCACTTTTTTTTTATTTTAGTCAGTGTGTAGTGTGTATGTTTGAGCATAAAAAAAGATCTAGAAAGTTACAAATCTCAAAGTCCACTCCAAAGGGAGATGTGGCATGACACTGCTCTTCTCGTCCGGTGTGCGACCGCCCGAAGGGGGGGGGGGTTTTGGTTTTGTTTTTTTCACCTCTGTGAAAAAAGCGGATGATGTCCGGAAACAGTGGTTGCAGTTTACTTTTTAACTCTGTTCCTGAGCATTATAACCCCAATTTGCTATTGTGTGCTGCGCATTTTACTGAGGACAGCTTCCAGCGTAAGTTACCGTGATGACGAAACCCGCTCAAAACCAACCCACCTTCTTGAGCTCAAACTCAGTTTGCTCAAACTAAACGCAAACTTACCTGGGTAAAAACCGAAACCTTATCCATGTTTAACAGGCCACATTATCCCATATATATATATATATATATACGTATGTATGTGTAATTAAATGCCATGAAATATTTGATTTGACTGAGTTGCAATATCATTATTTATTTCCCAAGCAGCAAAAAAAACATGTCATACGTGTATATATATATGTATGTGTGTATATGTGTATATGTGTGAAGTAAAGAGTCGTTGCATTGGAAATGATGCTCTGCCTTGTCTAGTAGCATGGTGTAAACTGGCAGTTAAACGCATAGTTAACCCAAAAATGAAAAATTTGCTGTTAATTTACATACCATTAGCCCATCCAAGTCAAGATGTAGGTGATTTTTTTTTTAATTTTCCTTCAATAGAACAGTAAAGAAGAATTTTAGAGAGTAAAGAATCTGCAATATCATTATTTATTTCCCAAGCAGCAAAAAAAACATGTCATACGTGTATATATATGTATGTGTGTATATATGTGTATATGTGTGAAGTAAAGAGTCGTTGCGTTGGAAATGATGCACTGCCTTGTCTAGTAGCATGGTGTAAACTGGCAGTTAAACGCATAGTTAACCCAAAAATGAAAAATTTGCTGTTAATTTACATACCCTTAGCCCATCCAAGTCAAGATGTAGGTGATTTTTTTTTAATTTTCCTTCAATAGAACAGTAAAGAAGAATTTTAGAGAGTAAAGAATCCATGGTCCTTGGTGATTTATACAATGCAAGTTCAAGGCTACCATAATTTTGAGTGTCAAAACAAATAAAGGCAACACAAAATTAATACCCGTGGCTCCTGATGTTATATTGAGGTCTTCTGAAGTAAAACTATCGGTCTGTGCAAGAAACTGAACATTGTTTACAACATTATTACCTGTAATCCAGAGCCACAGGCAAACAATCCTGAGCACAAGGGCACAAGGGTGATGTCCAGTTCACGAGCGAAAGGTTCTTATGGAATAGTTATTTTTAGTGAACAGCGAATTGTACTAAATTGTCTAAAACAGTTTGCGGCTCAGGTCATCAGAGTTACTCAATCAAAGCTTCCTTTTGGACGTGCATGATAGTCACTGAACTTAAGAAAGAGTTTGGACTTGGACATGTCCATGAAGAACTGATTATCCACTAAAACAAGCATGCATAAATTGACCACTTGAATGAAGGGGGAAAATTATTTTCTTTTAATGGTTTGTCATAGTTTATGTAAAACTTTAAAAGTAAAGTTTATGATTTAAGGTAATAAACAAATTAAAGTGAAAATGGCATCCTCTGCGGCAGTAATACAGCTCAGGTTGCTGCATGTGAAACTGCTTCAGCACTGGCTGTAGACTCGAGTCCCGAGATGGGCATGGTGCCGCGGCACACATCGGGTGGCTATCACAGAGATGATGCTGCAACAGGCGTGCAGCCTCAGAACCCTGGACAGGGCCTTGGCTGCGTTGGCAAATCAGCTGCCTCGAGTTGCTGATGCCTTGGCACACAGCTGCCCCGGGGACTGCGCAAGTGTGCGTTTCCCCCAGTGAGCCTGGTTGCACAAATATTGTGTTAGGTCAGGAGGAAGGAGAACGGGTCCTGCTGGTTGTGCTCTACTTGCCCACCAAGGCTTGGTTCTTGGAGCTCAAGCTCCTGTCGACCCCCCCCCTCTGGCAAATTAACCTGAGGAAGGAACTTCTTCCTCGGTGGCATGGCACAAATGCCCAGACCTCTGGACAGGATGTGAGTGGGCTATCACTCAGCACTGTCTAGTCTAGTAGCATGGTGTAACACTATTGGTGATGGCAATGGACCCAATCACTCAAGCCAGAGCCCCCTCTACAAAGCAGCTGTATGAAGGGACATCTTTTCGCAAATTGGTGTTCTTCCTGAAGAGAAGACCCACAAAGACGCGCCATCGGGTCAGAAAACAAGAGATTCCATATCTATATCCATTGGTGGCCAAACCAAATGCCAGTGACAACCATTCATATATTAATTGGAAATTTGTGTAAATTTACATCTCTAGTTGTTTTAGAAAGATACCATTTGCAATTAACTTACTAAAGCTTACAACTTGGAAACTAGATGGTACCATGAGGTTATTTTGTTGCTCAAAAGTCTACACAATAATGCAAGATGGTCTGGTTTCAAACTTTAAAATTTAAATTTGTATTTTCTTTCATTCTTCCTTTCTTTTATAGTACATTCATCTTTAAAATCCATCCATGAATCCCTGGCTCTGGAGCGTGAGCGAGTCAGACAAGCTTGGGCCGGACCTGACCTTCGGCAGTCAACCTCAGATCAGTTGGCCACATTGTGCACGACCCTCTCAGAGGTACTTTTTTTTTTTTTTCTCGCCGTTTAATATGGAGCTAGTGTGCTAGTACACTTCTGACAACACACTGAGCTGCTGCTACTAGTATCAACTATAAACACTGCAGATTGAATAAGCTGAATATTTTGTGGTAAACAAAAGACTGCTATCCCTTATCTTTTAGAATCACTTGTTTATTCAGTAAGAGGTGTGTGTGTGTTTTTTTTATTTTTATTTTTTATACCATTTTATGTCCTGATATTTGGTGAATTCATTGAAATTCTAGACTGTATTGTACGGTCATGTATGCTCTCATGCCTTTTATGCTTAAAGGTGACATCAGATGCCCATTTCACAAGTTGTCATGTTTCTTTAGATTATTTCTGAAATGTCTGTAACATATATTTTGGTTAAAATTCCTCAGCGGTTGTGAAAACACCCTTTTTTTACCTCGTCAAAACTAGCTGTTCACAGCGACCCGTTTTGGTGCATGTCTCTTTAAATGCTAATGAGCTACTGCTCACCCCACCCAGATCTTCCGTACTACTAATGCGTACACTAACATTAGGGTTGTTCGAGATGCATCGGCGCTGCGCAGACCAATCGGCGTATGACATCAAAGTACCGCGAGTGTGATTAGAGAGCAGACAACTCTAAGCTTTTGAATCGCTCTCCCGGTACATTGATGTCATACGCCGATCGGTCTGCGTAGCGCTGATGCATCTCAAACAAGCCTATTCATACAGACAAACTGTTATCTTTGTCCTGTGACTCAACTTTTTTTTTATTTATTTTTTTTTAAATAAAAGTTTGTGGTTCATGCTAGGTTTCACGTTTTACGTCAATTTAGAGTGCTGATAACAGCAAAATCATCTTTCAGACCTAAGCTATAGAATGAATAACGAATATCAAACATTGCTAACAATAACCAAAAGAAACAAACAAGAATTATATACAAAAAGACTAACGTCTTTCAAATGAATTGTAGTTACAGCTCCATTCTTTAAATGCAATTTTGATGCGAGTCCAGCTTCATATTGTCCGAGGTTTGAAAAGCAGTCTGTAAAAAAAAATTTTGCACACACAAGCAAGTTTTTGCCCACTCTTTCTGGGACATTCCCTTCATATATAAAATTAAGCCATTTCACTTTTGTTTCATCTGAAGCTGGGATTCTGTGTAAGGACGCCTGTATATCCGAACACCGAGCAGGTTGCATGCCAGGATTGCTTCATTGTTCAAACCCAGAAAAATGAAAGGCACCATATTGCTATGTTTACAAAAAGGGGTGGGAAGAGGGCAGACTCCATATTTTGCTCGGAGGCAGTCATATTCAAATAGCTAGCTAGTTACGTCAAAGCCGGCACCAAATTGAAATGGGTCGCTGGATGACACATTTTTAAACTCGGACAGTTTATAACAAACTGGCTGCATGTTTTCTTTTCAGCTTTTCTGAGCTGGCAGACACAGCAGAAACCTAACTAAATGCAAATAAATCTACAAAAGTGAAAATTTCATCCAATGTCACCTTTAAATTGTGCTAGTTACTGACTTTACTTTTGTTTTTAGCTTGAGATGCAGTCACGTTTAACCAGAGTTCACTCCGTGTCACTGTCATCCGATTCCTCAGATGAGTCCTACTGTACTGTGTGCCAGGATCAGGTGTGTGTGCTTCCCCATGTCTGAAGTTTTAAAGTAATGGTTTTTGTTTGTTTATTTAATATAAATCTCTTTTTGTCATTAAGCAGGCCACCCCCTCTCAGGAGCGTAAGCTAAATCGTACACCCTCAGTAACAGACTGTACAGCAGAGTATTTTGATGCCAGTGAAGTAATTTGTGAGAATCTGTCTGAAAATGAAACCTCTGACGAATCTGGATTGAGTGATGTCACCACAAGTAACTCTGAACCAGAGGAAGGCCACAGTACGTCTACAGTTAGCTAAACCATCAGCTTTACATGTTGATGGTTATGTAATGACAAATGGATAATAAAACCTTAAAGATAATTAAAGTGGTCCATATATACAGTGGGGGGGAAAAGTATTTAGTCAGCCACCAATTGTGCAAGTTCTCCCACTTAAAAAGACGAGAGAGGCCTGTAATTTTCATCATAGGTATACCTCAACTATGAGAGACAAAATGAGAAAAAAAATCCAGAAAATCACATTGTAGGATTTTTAAAGAATTTATTTGCAAATTATGGTGGAAAATAAGTATTTGGTCAATAACAAAATTTCATCTCAATACTTTGTTATATACCCTTTGTTGGCAATGACAGAGGTCAAACATTTTCTGTAAGTCTTCACAAGGTTTTCACACACAGTTGCTGGTATTTTGGCCCATTCCTCAAGAGCAGTAATGTTTTGGGGCTGTCACTGGGCAACACGGATTGTTTTCAACTTCATGCGTTCCAACTTCACCTCCGCACCAGGCGCGAGTCAAACAAGCAACTCTGCTCATAGCGCATGCTCATTCAATTGCACGCACAGGCGCGGTGTGCGCTGTAGCCTTTATCATTTAATATCAAATTGCAAAATAAATGACGAGCATGCAATGTCGTAGTTATGTCGTCAAAGTCATAAAGTTACCAAAAAGGCAATTAAATCTGCCTTAAAACTGTGCATGTAAGTATCTGGTGTATGAGTCACATTTAAGGACGTCTCTGAAATGCAGTGGTTTTCAGAACTGTCCTGGAGCAGCCCAAAACTGTCCCTCATCTAACAAACCTGATTCAACTCAACTCATTAGTAGAGACTTTAAGACCTGAGGTGGGTCAGAATAGGTAAAGATATGCATGTCAGATCCACGTCATGTTTAGCAGTAGCAGCTCTTAAAGTAATAGCAGGCAAAAAACCTAATAACCCAGCTGCTGTGATGTCTGTTAATGAAACGACAAAAGAAGAAAAAAAAGAGGAAATCAGTCATTTAAGGATTCATCTAGAATTCATTTAAAATGTAGTGTTTGATAACTTTATTAAATTTCTGTATATTTCCTACTTGCTGAAGGGCACATGTAGCTAAATTACATTTATTATAATGGGTTTATGTGAAGATTGTTTGAAGTTCACATAAATTAGAAGTTATTTTAAGTAGTCTAATAAATGTTCAAATTGATAGCTCTCAATTATACTGTAATGTTGAATGGCTAGTCAATGGTTAAATATTAGGGGGAAAAAAATATTTCATAGAGACATCAGTAGTATTAGTATCAGTGATGCATACTGACCTTCAGTCATTAAAAAAGATGGCATTATACAAATATTAAAATTTTACTGTCTTTGTTTGTACTTTAATTTGAATGTGAAATTATTGCAATGTTAAAGTATTTATAAAATCTTTACTGTTAGGTAGGATTAATCGTAATTAATTTCAGAAAAAAATGTTTTTTTTTTATGGATTGACAGCACTAATATATATATATATATATATATGTGTGTGTGTATATATCACTTTTTAAAGAAGTCTCCTATGCTCATTAAGGCTCACTTGATCAAAAATACAGAAAAAAAACCTAATATTGTGACGCATTACAATTTATCAGTGTTCTATTTTAATAGCAGCAAAAACTGTTTCTAACATTGATAATAAATTAGCATATTAGAATGATTTCTGAAGGATCATGTTACACTGAAGACTGGAGTAATGATGCTGAAAATTCAGCTTTATATATTCAAATAAAACTGTTAAATTGTAGCATGTCACAATATTCGTTTTTTTTTTCTGATCCCAAACTTTTGAACGGTAGTGTATATATAAAAAATAAAATAATATAATATATATATATATATATATATATATATATATATATATATATATATATATATATATAT